TTCAATACTTTCGAGTATGTGCGACAGTGAAGCGCCTACAGAGACGCCAGTGAGAATAACTAATGAGACCCAAGACTTTTTAAATTAACAAATACAAGAGAAACGAAGATAAGACTCTTTTAATTGTTTGTAGATACATAACAAAAATGATCAATAATGTGCTAACAGATTAAACTGAATGAATGAATTTTTGTTGATTTGTATTCAGTGTTTTGTAGTAACAGCCAAAAATGCAATTTCTTTATCCACTTTGTTCCACAGCCTGTGAGTAAGTACCCTCAGTGCGTCAATGATATTTCCTTCTGGATACCTGAGGAGTTCTCTCCTAATGATTTCTATGATCTAGTGAGATCCGTCGGAGGAGATCTTGTGGAACAGGTAAGCAATATCTGCATCAATTGTTCAGATGAAGAGGACTTGTAAGTACCTATTCTGATGGATAGATTAGCCATTCTTTATATAATATGTGTGAATGCCTGGAGACAGGTCCCGGTTATCGGAAAGTTTGGATGTTAAAATAAGGACATATTCTTGTAGCAAATTCAATGCTGAGTTAAGATTTTCCAAATATCTTGAGTACTTTTAAAGATATGCCACATTTTGTAACACAGTGTGCAAAAACAGAGAAAACGGCCTTTACCTTAGTATGTTGACCCAATTTTCAGCACATTTTAACCTTTGGTGAAGTACCACATGTTATAAAAATTATTAATGAAAATATTTACACTTAAAGCATAAAAAGTCCTTTCAAAACTTAAGGAAATGGTTACACATATGTTTTCTAATGAATGAGACTAAACTTTTGACGAGGTAGGACTTTTTGGGCCTTTTCGCCCCATTGCTCAAAAATAGCTTTGTCGCCGACTGGGACCTTTCTCCAGGCGCAAACATATTGACACTGATTTTAACCCTTCCAGCCCCAGCCAATTTTTGTGCACTCCCTAACCCCAGTCCCAGCCAATACAGCAGTATTTCAGAAAAAGAGACATGCATTCTAAAAAGTGATGTAGTATCTTTGTAATGAGGTTTGAATAATAGCATATAACAATCTTTAAAGGCAAGTGAACAAATACTATGAAAATTAAAGTTTAATAAGGTTCGCTATTTTAGAAAAATGCGCGAATTTGGTTCCCCCGAAACTGAGAATATACGCTCTTGGGACGGTGGGAGGTACAAGCGCTGCTGAAAATATACGCGCATGGGGCTGGAAGGATTAAAAGCATGCCCTTTATTATGAATACTCTTTGATTGACTTAGAACTTGCCATTTTGAAGGTGGCGTGGAAGATTTAAGATTTTGCATAATAAGTGTGTTAAGGAGCTGTGTTGCTTGAGCTGATATGCAGATTTGATTTGATGTCACAGATACTTGAACAGATATATTTTTTTTCTTCCTGTTTCTTTTATATGGCAATGTCGAAATCTTCACAAATGCAGCGGTTCTTTGAACAGCATCCAATTTGCCAAAAAGCTTGTCACTTAGTAGCTGTGGTTCTGGTCATGTGGTCACTGGGGGATTGTTTTGTATTAGGCTTTTTTTGGCTGATGCTGTGTGGACAGGGTGCCATATTGCACATGCAGTTCTTTAACTTACCAATCCTTACCCTCCTGTCGAAACAGTCTAGTATGCAAATAGCGAAATTGGCGGAATGCATAAGTCCTTTTGTTTTGTATGAATTTTGATTTGTACGTATTCAGGTTAAATCAAACGAGATCATAGACAAAGTTGAACTATTAGATCAAAATCTTACATGAATTATTCCCCCTATGCCATGCCCACATGAGTATTGGATTCCTAGTTGCCAAGATTGAAGTTAAATGTTGTTCAGTTCTGAGTTTTTTACACTGATTCTTTATCCACCGCTGCTAGGGTTAGTTATTTTTTCACAACCAAGAAGCCTTTCTGCTACTTCTTCTCTGCATGGTCCACTCTCTACTACAACTGACCAAGCCTAACTCTGCTGAACGCCGGCACGCTGTTGTTTTGTGTGTAATCTGTGTTGAAAAGCAAGCTCACTGATACAAGTGGGGGACAATGCAAGGCTAAATTTAACGGTGAACACTTTTGTGGCTGTATACATATTATATACAATAAACATCTTCTTGACCTGCTCTCTTTCCTCAGCTTATAGAATGATTGTTAGCCTACACTCAAACTTTGCGCTACTTTGATAGCAAAATTTGCAGTCAGGTTAAATATGATCTGTCCCTGATGCCATTTTTTTTTTTCACTTTGTACAAATAGTTTTTGCTGTGTTCATGTTTTGGAATATATATATAAGAAGAAAGAGTTAGGGACTTGAAAATCTGCCTGCTAGTGCATTTTTCCCTATGTGCTTGTTCAAATGTGCCTGCTTAACTGTGGAATTCAGTCTGGTCTTTATCTGTTTCCTCAGGTTTCTCTTGTTGACGAATTCCTTCATCCGAAGAAAAAGCGCATGAGTCACTGTTACCGCATTGTCTATCGGCACATGGAAAAAACTCTCACACAGGAGGAGGTCAATGAAGTTCATCAGGAGATTGAAAATTTGTCAGCTCAAAATTTGGGTGTGGAGGTTAGATGAGAAAATCAATGAATGTGCTTATTGTTAAATTATTTATGGGTACCTTTGAAGTGTTTGTGGTTATATTAGTCTGTTTTCACAATAACATGGCTAAGTTATTAATGTTTGCTCGATTTATTATAACAGAGAATTTGTTTAAGAAATAAAAGACAAACTTCTGATAGGTAGACTATTGTGAGAGAAATGTGTAAAGACATTGATATTTTGGTTCCAGTATGTTTGAACTGCTTGAATTGCATGGAGCGATGAATAAGCTACATGTATTTATGATAAATGTGAGATTTCTTAACTCTTGTGCTGAAAATGCTTTTTTAAATTATCTTTTTTGTGTCATACCCTTCTATGTCTGGATGAAGGAGGTGTGTTTGCTTAATTCTGTGACTATATAATAGAGAATCTTTTTATGTACAGTACTTTCGATACATGCTTAGATTGTTTACAGATTTTTATGCATGTACAGTTGCTATTTCTCAGAAAAACTGAAGATGATTCACTGTTGTAATATGCAGCTTATGAATTAAATAAATTCACTGGTTTTCAATTAGCTGTGCTGAAATTGTTGAATTGCGCATCTTAAGGTAATACAGGAGAGTCCATGTAAAAACCAAACACATTTAATCTGAAAATTGGTTTTAAAAAAAGAAGAAAAGAAAATTCCTTTTTTTTTATCTTTTTGAGCAACCTCTCTCATTCACTGTGAACCAAAATTTTGGCTAAACTGAAGAAAATCTGACAGCCCGGCAGATAACAGTTTAACCCTATCCGTACGTCGTGTTTTACTATCGTATCCATACGACATAGGGAACTCTGTGCCACCACTTTCAAAGAGGAAATTTTCTCATTAATCTGATCCGTACGCTTTGCATAGCAATCTGTCCAAATGATTTTTTGAGAAATACTGAAAGTTTCAAGGAGATCTTCGTAGTAAAAGTATTCTAAAATGTGAAGAATACAACCCCGGGGGGTAGGCTACAAAATGACCCCAGCGCGTACGGATAGGGTTAAGTGGATTCCACTGTATTCCTCCGGAGTTTACATAAGAAACACTCACTGTTGTGTAGTATCCTCTCTGCCTTCTTTCCTCCTTTTTTAGTTTTAGTCAACCTAGTTTTCCACCTTCATACTGACTTGATTAGTCATGTAACACTCAAACTTTGAGTCAAAGCAAAATTAATTAGGTAATCTGTTGTCAAATCTGTATATCAGGTCAAGTCAAGGAGAAAAAGCTATAATAAAATAATATTGGATAACTAAAAATGATGCAACTCAGAGGGCAGAGTCAAAGTTAGAACGAACATTGAATTAACAATATATTGACAATGATCTTTTACTTGCTTTTGCAATTTAAAAATTATGTATCAATAGTGCCATAAAAGTACAAAACGTATATATGCATATTTTTATACTCGCAGGAGTGCACAAACACTCACATACACACACGCGCGCGCTATACTTGCAGGCAGGCACACAATGATGATGATAAGAAGAAGAAGAAGAAAAAGAAGAATTGCATTTATATAGCGCATATTCACGCTCAACAGCGTGCTCTATGCAGTTTACAACTATTATTACCCCAGCAGACCCCAGAAGACTCAGAAACATTCTTGGCTACCCCGAAAGCTCACAGTGCAAACTGCGGATTGCACAAGTTCAAACACTAAAAAACTGACGAGATCTTTCACTGGACGCAATGCAATTCGCCCTCCATTACGCCACAGCCCTACCTGTGGAAAGTTTGATCCTAAAAAGC